TCTGTGTATACTGTGTGCTTACATACACACACACACAAACACACATCAATATTTGCTTTCAGATTTTCATTGGTAAGAAAATATCCACGCATCAATTACACCTGAATGAATGAGATATTACTTATCCAACTCATCAGTTTAATTTATAATCTTAGAGTTAAATTTGTATTTATCTCAGGATGCTAATGGTCACATTCTCTAAACTGTATTCTTTGGCTCCAGCTCAGCACCTAGCTGACTCTGTCCATATTCATTACATGATCTGATGATGGAACTTTCTAGTAATCACATTCTTTCTGGGTTAGACAAATTAGGTTCAAGTAGGAAATTGCCCTACTAAATTTATACCAGGCAGAAATTGTGACAACAGAAAAGGATAAACCAATTTTCATGAAACAAGTCACATGAATCAGAAGCCAAAATCAAATTATCTTTCCTTTCTTTTCTCAACTAAAAGCCACCTGCAAACATATCTTTATGTGATATTCACTGAACTTTGTGCAGTGAGAAATTATTGAAGTTATTTTCATCAGCAAATCCTTTGTAAACTTCTATTATAGAATCTGGCTTAGAAGTGCTTCATATATGTTAGCTATTATTACTATTACTTGATAATATCCTACCTTATATGAGATCTTATGTTGAATTATACAAAATTTGTATAGAGGTTCAATTTATGAAGCTAATTAAAACACATTATTATTTTTTTAAAAAAGTAAATAAATGAGATAAAGTTATTTTGCTTTAACTGCTTATTTTTAAGTAAAGATTTCTTAGCTCTGAATTTTTGACAATGAGGGGCATGCCATATTTGTCTCCTACACAGAGGCATTCAATAAAGGTTTTGGAGTGAATTAATGAACTGCTTTATAATGTAGCTCAGACATTAAACTAGAAATTCAGAGCAATCTTCTTAGAACTTGATTTATGTCAAATGCAAGTTTGCAATATATTAAGGAAGAGGCAGTTGCTTTTTGAAAATCTTCCTTTTATTAAAGAAATGCTTTAATGTTATTATTTCCCTTGGCTTGTGTAAAATATTATTTGCATTATAAATATTGATTTTTTGTATAATTGTTCATAGACAATATTCTCATGAATGCAGTTTTACAAGTGTCAATGGAAGGTAAATTATGTGTGAGACGCTCTTCTAGGTAGAGAGTGAAGGATTTTTTAGATGAATAACATTTTGTTTTGTTTTTGTTTTATTTGTTGTGGTTGTTTTCTTTCTTTCTTTCTTTTTTTTGAGACAAAGTCTTGCTCTGTTGCCCTGGCTAGAGTGAGTACCATGGCGTCAGCCTAGCTCACAGCAACCTCAAACTCCTGGGCTCAAGTGATCCTCCTGCCTCAGCCTCCCGAGTAGCTGAGACTACAGGCATGCGCCACCATGCCCGGCTAATTTTTCTATTTTTAGTAGAGACGGGGTCTTGCTCTTGCTCAGGAATTAATAACATTTTGTATCTACTTTTGAGTTGCAAACAATCTGGACTATTGGTTAAACAGAAAGATGCCAGACAAGATCAGGTGAAGGACGTTACTGCAAATTCTATGATGAGGAAATAAAACCACCTGCTCCAGGGAGTGAAACTTGAATCCCCTAAATTGCATTTTAGACTTACTTTATGTTGGGTTTTATACCAGGATATGAATGTATTTAAAGTAAGAAATATTTGACATAAAGAGTGTGGTAAACTTCAAAGGGGTGTTTAACTCGTTCCTGGGTCATTGCGTTTCACGAGTCTGAGAAATGGAACCTTCCATAGCATGTTTCCTGTGGTTCCCGACACAACGGTTGTCTGAGATGGTGGGACTTTCCGTGCGTGTCACCACTTGCAGATGCCTTCCAAGAGCCCTGGAGAACAGGCATGTTGCCAGCACAAAACACCATTCTGGCGAATTGGTAACGCCAGAAACGTCTACCTCGGCTACAGCCCAGGGCTGTTATTGAGCAAGTAGATTCATCCTTCATGGCTGGTTGTTTCATAAGTACCTTCAAGTAAAGTAATATCCAAGACCCCTTTTTTCTTCTCACTGCAAACTTGGTCAAAATTATCAAATATTCGGTAACCCTTTATGGTACCAGGAATGCACCAATAATACTCCTTCTGATGTTCTCGCCATGAACAATCTTCTTGTGGAATTCAATTTCCCTTCTTACTATTGTGGGCAGTTTCAGGTACCTGTGATTGATCATTTTTAAGCTTATTTTTTAAAGAGAGTAAGGATCTGTGATTTAAATTAGAATAGAAGTTATGCCAGAGATAATGAAAGGCCGTTGGTTTCTATTTTCCAACAGAAAATAAATAAAAGGATGAATGTGATAACTCAAATGAATAAGTATGTTTATCTTCCAGGCTTTCTAGTAGTTAACTGGTTAAGTAAAACGTGTGATTTACAGAATTAGAAGGGCTGCTCCTCAGCATTCAGACACTGTCAGTAAACTAATGCAAGTGCAATGCACCTCCTCATCAAGCCACAGAATCATATTTTTTAATTCTTCAAGGAGTTTGAGTTATTGAAGTTGGCTACCATGTAGACGAAAAAAAAAAAAAAGCTTTTGCCTTTTCTCTTGGAATATAATTAAAGTGATTAGGAATTTGATAATTAACCTAGGACATTTAACCCTATTCTACTCACCTAATGCTCCCAGGAAATGATCTGTTTTCCTTCATTGGTTTCATACCTTAGAGGAAACTTACTGAATTAAAGCTATACAGCTTGTATCTGCAGACAGAAACAAAGGTCATTTTATAGAAGAAACCAGTTTCAAACGAAAACAGCATTCTACGTGGTCACATTCACATCGCACACTCTTGACCCAAGGTGAGAAAGTAGGTTGATCCTTGTTTCTTATTTATTCCCTGGCACCATCAGACCACAGGACACGCTTCTTTCACCAGGTGTCAAAATGAAATCACCCGCGACCTTTCAGAGGTGCTGTGAGCACAGGCAACCCAAGACAATGAGCAGCATAATAACCACTGTCACCAGGCAAACTCCAACAGAGTCTGGGTTTGGATTTGGTTTTATGTGAAGGGAAGCAGATTTCCTCTGACTTTAATAATCCATAAGAAACAGAAATCACAATATATCGATTCAGCATCCACCTACAAAGGGTCAAAGAGGCCAAAGTTCTCCCCCAATTCATCCTCTTGTTCCACAGACATTTTGAAAATAAAGGGGGAAAAAATAGAAATGAAAGAGTGTGAGAAAGAACACAGAAGTGATTTGAACGATTTCAAGTCCTTTTTAAACATCATTGAGATTGCATTTTATACATCGGGCTGGCTGACTTTAGTTCTCACAGCTAAGACCTTGCAAAGAAACTGGCCTTGCCTTCCAGGGTTGACCTAGAACTGCAAGGGTGCAGGCAGGTGACTGCGTGTGTGCGTGTGTGTGTGTGCGTTAAGTCCATTTTATAACAATGACACAGGACAATTCCCATCCTTGGTAACAGTCTTTGGCGTCCAGTCATGCAGAACAGCAGGCAAGTGCAAGTTGGGTCTCATCGCAAGATGGACATGGCAAGGCGAACAGATTATTCTAGAGAAGGTTTGGGAGATTTGTCTCTATTAGAATATACTGGCCATTGGTCCCACATACTCAAAAGTTAAATATACAGGAATCTATATATAAACAAGCCCCCTTACTTCAGTTTGACTGACCAAAGAAATAGGTCAAAGTGAACCATTTTCAGACAGAGAACTAAGTTCCAAAAGAAATAACAAAATCCTATAGTTTAATCACAAGGAAAATAACTAATATAAGTATTTACATTGTAACTTTTTTGTTGTTTTGATAGAAAGTTTCCCTGCTTGGTTCAGTGTTGTCTGTGGAAAGCGCTGGACTCTTACAATGAAAATGTGTACGTGGACTTGTGAGTGGGAAGTGGTATTCCTTTTCCGACCTGAAGTGGCTGGGATCGAAAATTCCTAGTGCCATTTCACTCCTCTCTCTGAGCTGTGGAAGACAGATTTTTCAGCAAGTACGGTTGACAACATGCTTTACAGAGCATAATGCTTTCAAGATGTGGATTTTCATATGTAAAGAGATTCAAGTAGAAATAGATTTTGTATAATTTAGGTTTTGCAGTGAATATTTAAAATTCAAAAAAATCAGTTTTGCTTAGTTTTCTCCCCCTGAAAGGCCATAAAAGGACTTATATATTCTCATCTATTCTACTTGTTCCATTTGCCAAGGCCAATGTTCTGATTTGCTAGTCACCTGTTATCGGTACCTTTAGATAATATTTTGCTGATAATGATAACAGATTGAGCCAAACTACCCAGGTCCTCAGCCTCCAATCAAGTAGCTTCCTCCAACTGGTGGGGAATGGCCGGGCCCTGGTCCAACTGTGGGGTACATTCCTACAAAGCTCAGTCATCAGATTCTTGAAGATGAAAGATCATTATCAGTTTTTATTCCACAAGAAGAAATTCTGTTGTAAGACCAATGTATCTACCACTTTTTAAAAACGAACACGATGACCCACAAAATGCCTATGAAAATAGCAAAAACATAGCTAAAATGGTGGTGGTTCACCAGACTCTCACAGCAATTAAATTCTCCCTGCACGTGGGTATACAGCTGTTCCTCCTACGAAATACAACAAAACATTTTGTTAAGGATCACTGCCAGACCGCGTGCCCTAGAGGAAGTGACAGAAGGTTGGGCTCTCAGAGTGCCAACTTCATGCTCCAAAACGAGACCCAACCCCAGGCAGGGCCTCTGCCCTTTCCAGGAATATTGTCCAGGTGACGTGACACTTCCCTGCCTGAAGAGTAAGAATGTTCTTGGGAAGTAACAGGTGGCTACAGAAGAAATATTCAGCACTTTTTTTTTAAGAAAATAAGACTCAATGCAGAATATAATATATCCTGCGAATTTGATAACAACATAATCGCCTCCTAAAGATATTACAATAAAGTGTACCCAGACGAGAAAGGACTGATGGGCTTTTAAAGTGATTATTTTTTATTGTCCCATCGTCTGTCTCGCTTCCATCACCTGGTAAAATTGATCCTGCAAGAAGTCTGGGGACCAAAGCCTTACCTCTGCAAATGACACTTAAATCCAAGGGGTTTGTTCCAATTTATTTTCTTGTCATAAGGAGGATCTGGCTGTAGGTAATCAGCTCCCAAGAGCCACACAACAAGAAATACGATACTAGTTGAGCTTCAGGAAGGCGGCAACGGTAGGGGAGGGGCATTGTCTAGTTCTTGCCTGGTTTAATCTGAATGGAAAAAAAAAAAAGCACCACTTCTGCAGATGTGAGAGATAGTCTAACTGTCAATCACTTCTAAGATGCTGGCTGGAGACACCCTTCTGTCTTGTGATGGCACGTTGGGGCTGATGAAATTCCCCTTGTGACTCTCCTTCCCGCAGCTGCCTCCTCTCTGCATTTAACCCCAGGTGGTAGAAAGCGGGGAGTAGAAAGGCCACAGATGTGTCAAGAGAAAAGGACAGAGAGAGGAGATAAGTAAAGAATCAGGAAGACAGAGAAGTTTTAAAAAAAACCAGGAATGTGACAGAAAGAAAAGTGAGGGAACACATGGGAATGAGGAGGCATTTTTGAAAATCAAGCTGTCTGCAAGATTAACTAAAGAGAATGGCAGCAAGATCGAGAAACTGGGCCATTTTTATTCCACGGGACAAGTGGCACAAGCTGATGTTTTTCTCTCCGTTTTAAACAAATAGCCTTTTGTCCTGAATCCCAGTGTGCAGCAATCCCAGAGATGGCAGCACGCTGACATAGGGATGGAGCAGGGTTGCGGCTCCCTGCTGACTCTGTTGCTTGGCAGGAGACAGAGCTTCCCTGTCACTGTATTTAAGGCAGTTTCCAGAGCACAGGCATTCTCGTCTGCTCTGGTTTTGAGGAGATTCCATTCGCCAGTCATATCACACTCAACAACCATCCGTTTCCTGCGTTTCGCTTCTTCTTCAGGTGAAATATCACCACACTGGTGAGCACCAAAATGGTCAGAGTGCAAATAACTGTGATGGACACTTCACCAGAGTAAGTGAGAAGGGAAGCCCATGCCTGGGGCCGATTATTGCTGAGAAGTCACCTTGGCATTGACTTGTATGTGACCAAGGTGTTTCACAGTGCCTCCTTAGTGCACAGAAAAGCACTTTCACTTAATTTAACCTAAATTCAGGAGATTTCGCTGAACATCGACATTAATGTTTCATGGCTTTTCAGACAAACTCCTATTGCTAAAGCTACGTAGCAGCAGAGTTATTGCTCTCGTATCTACTGCACTACGGAATTCAGATTATCAGCCCTTCTTTGATTGTTCAACCTTATGAAAATAAACAAATAAACATGAAACATCAGCCACATGAAGGAGTCAGGGAAACCCCTGAGGAACAACAACGTCTCTGGAGATGTTTCCAAATGCTAACCTGAGGATCACCCTGTGCTTTGGGGGGTTCATTTTTATGAACTACTTTTTTTTTTTATTCCAGACGAGGAAAGTAGTATTTTTTCTCAAAAGTAAAACTTTGGCAGGGTATGAGCTTGGGAAGGAGACCACACATGGAAAACACAATGGACAATCTGAAGGTGATCTAGGTAGGCTCATTTTTCTGTTTAAGGAAATCTTATGGAGGCGATCCCGCTCAGTTCTGGGGAGAGATTCTTACCATCAACATGTACGCAACGACCCTGCCTCGCCACCTCCACTTTCTCCAGCAGCCTCCTGTTGTGACAGATAATTTGAGGAAATGACATGCGGTCAACTCTCAAAGAGATGGATGTCGGTGTCTCCTAGTGTCTGGGTAACAATCTGCTTTCTGTCTCAGTCCCCGCTGCAACACCACTCTCTGGTCTCGCCCGCTGCCCGCTGTCACAGGGAGGGCCCTCAGCTTCCACTCACACCTGCCTGCTCCAGGCCAAGCCGCGTGGCGCCTGAAAGCTTTCGCCCCTCCCCCCTCGCTTCACATGAGCATCAAATATGTTCTTTCTGCAGATTGGTATACAGGTGCCATTTAATCGGTTCAAATTTGGAAGCTACATCTCCAAGGGTCCAAGAGAGCTCACTCCCCCCATGTTTTCCCCCTTTACATGTTTTCTTATAAGACATACAGCTTAATCAATTGACAAACTAAACAGCTTATATACTGGCGATATATTACAGATGGGTTTATGTCAGAGTAATAGATCACGTGAAATGGACCAGGTGGCGCCCCAGTGCACGGCGTCTTGGGAGAGCCCTGAGGACACTGACAGTAGCATCTCTACGTGAGTGGTGCTGCGAATACAGACACATGCGGATCTGTATCTACATCCATCTGACTAGGCCAGAGGAGCAGGTAGATGCGAGATAGAGACACACACATGCTGGACGGGGCCACTGCACACCTTGTCATGCCATTTGAAAGGGCAGTTACAGGTTGCTGGTTTTGCAGCCATTAAAATTACACTTTATGGAAAAGGCTCCTCTAATTGTGTCTGATTTGCTCTCTGTAGTAAGCATCGTTGGAAGAAGACCAAAGCAAGAGCAACTAGAAGTTAAATATGCGTTTGAGCTTAGCTGCAATACAGGACTCGGGGCAAGAAGCAGGCTGAAAGATCTGTTTCAATTTTAGGCTTGGATTCTCTCCCTTGCTATTTCTTGATGTTGCGTGTCTGCGTGTGTGTGTGTGTGTGTGCGTGAGTGTCTGCGTGTGTGTGTTTTCCATCACGTCATCTCCTGAAGAACGCTGGGTTTCGCAGGCAGGCGGCTAGTCACCTGCAACAACCCAGGGGTCCTGCCGAGGCTTCCAGGCTGCTGTCAGTGTCAGACGCCAGGGTCTGGTCGGTGGACATGGAGGAGATGTCGTTGACGGACGAGGATGGAGGGAGACTCTCGCTGCTGTTCACTGCTGCACCTGTGCTAAGAGAATGAAGACCAACATGACTCAATCTAGAACCAGACCCCTCTCAGCGCCCTTCAGGATGCAGGGACGGACAAACACAACAGGGGGTCCAGTCCATCACTCATCTGATGAACCTTCATAAGACAGCGATACCGGGAATTCCATTAGACGGTGCAAACCAAGACAAAACGATGCGGCGTCTCTGATCACAAGTTATTCACAGGCTAGTACAGTAGTTATCAAATCTCACTCTACATTAGAAATCACCTGTAACACTTAGGGAAAAAAACATTAATATCCAGTCATACCACCTCCCCTCCTCCTGCTCTTCCAATATTGTAATATAACTGGCCTTGGTCCAGGCATTTGCAATTTTTAAAAGCTCTCCAGAGACTGTCAAGGACAGAAAACCACTAGTTTATGGATAAGATAGATGAGCAAAACCCTTTAATGTAACCATCAGAGCCTGGCTGCTTTTACTGCAGGGAGCTTTGAAAACAAACACATGCAAGGGTGTTTTCCCAGAAGTATGGGCCAAGCTAAAGTCCAGAAATCTGAATTACCTGGAGACTACAGCTCTAGAGCAAGGAAGGTATATAAAGTAAATATGATTAATATTCATTAATATGACATCAAACCTGAAATACACATAGAAAAGCCAAGTAGGACTTTGGATGAAAGTTACCAAATGGGGGAAAAAAGAACAGGAGAGGCCCAAGCATACCTTTTGATTATTTTGTTACTTTCCAGCTTACCTAGGATCTCCAATAAGAACTCTGAATTTTTAACTTGGATTAATTTGGAAAAAAATCTCTTATTTATCTGCTATGTGGGATCATAAAGATTTTGAAACACTGAGCAGAAACTTGCTCATAGTAATCACTCAGCAAAGGCTTGCTGAGTTACAACAGCTCCGAGAACAGAAGAACGATTAGACAAAGGCATTGTAAAAATATAATTAAACCACGGCACCCTGGAAACAGTAGATTTACTGTTTCTTTTTATATATTCATTGCACCTAAACAATCTGAGAGGTAAAATGTTTGCTTTGTGAAATAGTTCACTATTAAGAATACCTGTAATAGAATCACCTAACAAAATAAGAGATGAGGAATTCTCAGTAGAATTGTATCTTATTTGAGAAAATATGGTGTGCAAGATTTGGTGACAAATAATACATCCAAAATAAGTTACAGTAGTGTTATCACACAGACCTAATAAATCAGAAAGACAAAGCTAAACTAAATTAAGAAAGTGGAAGGATTAACACAATCTTCTGTGTTTCTGGGGTAGACATTTCTTGCTCAGGGAAAATGTGTGATGAAAATGTGACAGTTTCTAGAGAGGACACAGACACCTAAACTAAGACAGATTGCATGTATCCTATATGCAATCCTAAAGTTGTATTTGTTTTTATGTAAACTATGGGAAATGTAAAAAAATACAGGAAAATAAATAATGATATGCACTGATCCTCAAATAAATGGTAAGAACTGTTAAACTTTTGGTATATTTCTTTCCAGTGTTTTTGCCAAGAAGTTTCCCTAGTTGTGATCATTTAATATGTTTTCTTTTGTATCTTGATATTTTCATATACAGAAAAGCTTAGGCATTTTTCATGCTCATTAAATTCTTAACATTGTCCATGCTTCCTAATTTTAAACGTCTCTAGAACAGATTTTTAAAGTGCTCTCATTATTGTCTTCCTGCAAATAATTACTTTCACTCTCACAATGTGTAATGTAAAGTTATCTGGCTTCAATTTATTCCAAGTTTATTTAATTATATCCCTCATAGATATGGTGCAGAGCTAGTCCATTTCCGCTCACGACAAGATTCCACCTGCCAGCAGACAGCCCCGGATCCCCTCACGTCACCCAAATGCCCAGTTTTGTTTTTTTTTCCCCTGATTTTGGGTTAAATTACAGCTATAGCCTTGTTGTTCTTTTATAACTTCTGGTGTCCAATAATTTAATGTCACTATGTTGAACTTCGCGGAAGCCTCTTCAATTTTTCCACATCCTTATGAAAGGGTAGAGATTAAAACTGGACACAGGACTCTAACAAAGGCCCGATAGAGTCAGATCGCTTTGTTTCTTACTGTCTGTTTCTCTCCTGGATGATAGATTCCTACACTATAGAATGGCTTTCAAATCATGGTGCCACAGGTTTACATTTAGTTTTGACTTGAGATATAAAATGATGCCCATATGTCTTTTTCTAAGAACTTTATGAAGGTATAATTTTAGATCTCACACTCAAGTCTATGATACATTTCGAGTTCATTTTTGTATAGAATACGAGGTGGGGTCCACCTTTATTCTTTTGCATGTGGGTATCCAGCTGCCCCCACATCATTTATTCAAAAGACTATTCTTTGCTCATCAAATTGTCTTGACATCCTTGTCAAAAATCAATTGATCATAAATGTGAGGATTTATTTCTGGACTCTCAATTCTATTCCATTGAACTATTTGTGTATCTTCATGCAAGTAGCACACTGTCTTTAATATTGTAGCTTTATAGTCAATTTTAAAATCAGGAAGTGTAAATCCTCCAACTGTGTCCTTTTTAAAGATTGGTTTGGCTATTCTGTGTGCCTTACATTTCCATGTGAATTTGAAGACCAGCTTGTCAATTTCCGCAAAAAGAGAGCTATGATTTTGATAGGTATTGTGTTTAATCTGTAAGTCAATTTGGGGAGTATCCCACCTTGACAATATTAAATCTTCTAACCCATGAACAATCGAATGACTTTCCATTTATATAGGTCTTCTTTCATTTCTTTCAGCAATGTTTTGCAGTTTTCGGGGTACGAAGTTTATACTTATTTTGTTAAATTTATTCCTAAATATCTTTTCTTGTTGATGCTATTATAAATGAATTGTTTTCTGTTCGTTGCTAGTGTGCAGAAATATAACTGATTTATTTTAATAAGAAATCTCTGTGTCTGTGGTTTGGAAAGTAAACTGATCAAATGATGGCATATATATCTTATGAATTTTATAATTAATCAAAATGCCAGTGGAATCAGAAATACTTTTGCTAGCATGCTTTATTTAAATTACAACAAAATAATAAATTTGAAAGTTTTAAAATAAAGTTTTGGCATAATGCAAACCAAAAAAGTATCTTTACATAATAGTCTTGCTCTTCTCCTGAGATGGGCTTTTTCTCCTATCCTGGCTAAAGCTGATTATGCGGATATGTTCTTACTGTTACGGTTAAAGCTGAGTAATGATCCAAATAAGAGTGCGATAAGGCTAGCTGAGATAAGGCTCCCTTATAGGAACACATTTGATGTTTACAAATAAACACAAACCCACAACAATGACAGCTAGAGAAATTACACAAAGAATATTGAGGAAATTTCTCCAGCAAAACACAAATTTACATGTATAAACAATACCACATGAAGGCAGCAAAAGCCAAAGTAGCTCTTAATAAGTTCTGCATAAACAGGGGATTTTGCTGCAGGTTATGCTTATAAAATACACAGACTCCTTCTGCACTTATTTTAATAGCTGGCATATTCTCAGCACACTTCTAGAATATTCTGAGTGTTATGCCATACAAGTCAGCCCCTTACTACATATATAGCTTTGTTATGTGATTACGTCATGTTTGTATTTCCCTGGCTTCTTTTGACTTCTTCTATTATACTGTACTTTATTCTCCTGTCTTCCATAACGTCTACTGCTGAGTACAAAGTAAGTACTGGATGTAACAAAATGATATTGAGTATCTTTCATGTGAACTCTTCCAGGTAGGTTCTGTGAGGGAAGCAAGTTTCTCCCTGCTATTAAACTAGTGAAACTGCTCAACTAATTTTGGCCAAAGGAAATCATTTTGTTTCACTGTCTGTCTTCTCCCTTTGTTCATCAGCCGGTTCTCTGCAATCCTTACCTTCTGTGTTGGGATGATCCTGCCCTCTATTTTATCAACGTTGAATGCAAATCACAGTTAGTATTCAATTACTCCAAGTTCAGAATCTGTCAGAGTCTTTATCGCCTGTATTTCTAGGGGTCCGTAGACCATTGTTCCTGATTTTATAAAGCACAAATTCTTCCAGTGCTTCCTTTATAAAATTCCCATTACATCTGCTAGTTTTATGGGGATGGCTCCTCTCTAGATAGTGTTAAGGTGGGAAAACGATGTGCTCTGTCTAGTGGCGCTGGAGCTAGCTTTTAGTGGCTTCTTAGAGCCAACATCAGCATCCCTTTCAACTCTGCTTTCACCGATGTCACTTTGGTAGCTTAAAAGTGGTCACGGTGAGAATATTTACACCATAGAAATTGGTAAGTGCTACTACTCAATTCTTATTTTTTTTAAAAAAAATGATGGTTGCTAGATATTAACCAGCCCACCATCGTGATGAAAAATACCTGCTTCTGTATGTCTCCCTCTACTGCACTGTAATAAATGCCTCCTGGACGGCAGCGCCTCCGGCTTTACTGCATGATCCATTCAAGTCCATTTTCACGTAGGCAATAAAGAAGGTTTGTAAACCGTAGCACCAACACAAATATAAGTGACAAGGCATGGACTTTAGCTTTAAGTTGTTAATTTACTGTCAAGCAATTTGTGAAAATCTCTTAAACAGAATTGAACTGAATTGAATCTGATTAGAATGTCTGCTTGTGCAGGCAATGTGATAAATATCCCTTCTTTCTGTGTTACTTAGGAGAAACCAGTAGAGATCCACATTTAAAAAAATGTTTCACCCATCAATAAAGTATCACAAATTTTTGTCACTGAAAACAAAATTAAAAGAAACTGAAAATACTAACAGGGCTGTAAATGAGGAATATTAGTTGCTTTCCACTTTACCTTAAAAAAATTAGGCTTCATAGAAAGAAGTCACTTATGCTAGTGAAAATTTCTCAGCCAGAAGTTATCTAATAAAAGATATTCATCATCTCAGGGGAAAACATTGTTCTGCTTTTTTTAAGGAAATTATTTTGATCCTCTCAACAACAACCACCACCAGAAAAAAGGTAGATAAAAAGAATTAGAAAAAACACTAGAATGGCCGAAATCACTGAGCCACAGTACCTTCACTATCGATATGATCTTGAGTGTCAACTGGTTGATATTTTTTAATAAAAATTAAACAAAATTGTTGGACTACATTAGAGACCCTAAGACATACTCCCATGGTGGGGAATATGGTCCACGTTGGGGAAGGGGAGGTTGTATATTAAAAAAACCTAGGGAGTTTTATCTTTGATTTAGAGATTTTGACAAAGCTCTGCCCATCCTTAACACTAAGCATCCTTATCTTAGTAAGTCATTGTTGCTATGGGAGCTTTCCTTCTCAGGTGGAATAGGGGTGGGTGGTGAACAAACGTGAGCGTTGCTGAATGAGATGGCCTCCTATATTTGTTACAGCTCTAACATTCGATGACAAATGCTTTTAGAAGAAAATTAATTTCTATTCATGGACTGCTATTCCCTCAGCAATCTTTACAAATCAATTCAGGAAGCAGGCAGCTATACCATCCTCGAAAATAAATCACTATGCAAGTGAAATCAGATAGCAGAAGGGAGTACAATTATTTATTTAGAAATGTAACTGACGTTTAGATTTATTTCTTATTGATATACAATTCTATCAATAAATTTCAAACCTATAAATTATCCTACAAGTGCACATTTAACTTCCCAGTTACATTTTAAAAGCATCACAATAACGTGGGTCTGGGTACCAGAACCATTTCGTCCCTGAGGAGCTGCATTAACTCACTCCCTTGCCGCAGGACTCCCAGTGTTGCCATCCTGGATAGCAAGAGAGTCCGCATTGTAAAATTGCATTATCCTAGCTATTCACAAAATAAAATACGCTAGGCAAACATTAATGATAAAACATGAATATAACAAAGAATGCAAAAAAGCTGACTTTCCAAACACTTCTTTTTCAGTGATTGTTTTTTTTCCAGCATAGTTTACTGCACACACACACACAGTGGTGCACCAATAAATATTTAACAGTTGGCTCTCCAGGAGAAAAAAAAATGCCCTGATTGGTAGGGTCTGCCAATTTCCATGTTGCAAATCCTCCATGGCTAATTTCAAGCTACCAATATAACAACAGTAAACTCAGAGCTGAGAAGAGATGTACACAATTGGCTCTCATGAGCTGGTAGAGTTGGCCTCAGCACATGGCAGCCCTACACTCTGTCCATGAGGCACAGAAATATATCATACCGAAATGTGTCATATAATATACAGTATACATATGATTTCTCTATTTTTCTGCAAATGCACATTTAACTTCCTATTTGCATTTTAAAAGCATCACTATAATATGGTGATAGTGATATTCTTAAATTCTTTCTTTCTTTCTTTCTTGTCATGGATATTTTTCCTTTAAAACTATATAGCGAAAGATTGAATCCACAATCATTTTAACTATAAATTGGTAAAGCCAGTCAATTATTGCTTTGGGCATATGTATATGTAGATAATTGTCAATTGTTACAGGTAGCTGGAACAGTTAAAAAGTGGCTTAGCGTTCTCATTTAGTTAGAGCCTAAGCGGTGTATTTTAGAATTAATCATTAACAAACTAAACTAACCAGGAATATAAAAAAATTCATGGATATACATCTCCCACAATGAATGAATCAAATAACCACCCAAAAGCAGCAAACCTTTATCTGAGACATGAATAAATGCCAATAGCAACAATTCATATACTTAATACTTGGCCCATTTATCTTCATGGAGATTAACAGGGTGAATAATATTTAAATAGTGTTATAAGAACATACTAAATTGCACACTGTATTAAAGCTCTGATTCTGTCTTGAATTCTGTGTTTGGAATAGTACCAAAAAACAGGCTGAGGGAAGAACTGAGTGGCCATTTTCAAACTAATAGATATTTATTGAGCTACTATTATGTGCAAGGCACAGCACCTAGGCACTGCATGGTACACAAAGATAAATGCATTCAGTCTTTTCAATGAACTTACAATCAATAAGGGGCAAAAAGACAAGATATCCAATATTTCAAACACAGGGACTGGTAAGACCCACAGGAAGGAAATATCCCATTCTTTGGGGAGAGATGAAAAGTCTTTTGGGGCAAGATGGTATAAAAAAATGAAGTAATGATAATTTGAACTAAAGATGAATAAAATGGTTCTACTAAAATTTGTCCAGTCCCAGCCCAAGATGCTAGGTGACTCTTTGCTAAATCCTGGTATTTAAGCTTCTTAATGATTACAGGAAAATAAGTTCTGGGCATTATAAAAATTCTTAAAACAAGGAGTCTTTCTGCCTTAACAGGTGTATTTGGAGGCCACTGAATTCCATCTTTGAGTTATTTAATAGGCAGCAGGCAGAACACGCCAGTAAGTTAGATGCAGCTTCTGCACGCTGTGTCAATCTGGATGCCAGGATTAATGAGTAAAGAGGGCAGCGTGGACGACAACTCCAATGTTTCCTGTAACCCTCTTTGAGGAAAGGAAAGACTTGGGATAAAATTTACTGGTAAGAAAAGCATGTCATTCTTACCAGCATGAGCCGAGAGTAGTTTAAGGTTGAAAATAATTAACCCCTTTTTATAAAACTCTTTATATTCAGAGCATACATCTTAGGAAGAAAATATTTTAGCATTAATATGTGAATGTAAATGCCTCAAGTAATCCTAAAGCACATTACTAGGATCAGCTAACTATGCATCTGTACGAATGTGTGTTAGATTCTGTAGATACCGAACTAAAGATTTTCCAAGCTGACTTTAATTAGAGCCCAACTTGGTAGATGCTTCAACTATTGGCACATTAACCTTGAGAAGAGTTCAACATTGAGAATGAATGAGGGAAGAGGTTCTGGCAGGAGGGATTTCTGACCTCTAGAGGGACTTGATGGTCAAGAGGTCATTATTGTTCTGTATTTTGATGAGAAGCATTTACCCTTCACTCAGCTCATGGTGATATTTCTTCACAATTCATTACTATCTTAAAATAAGTTCTGAAAAAGGTTTTGTGCTGAGTCATTACAATCAGAATAATCAGAATGAATGCAACCCCAAATGTCAAAAAGAGTAAAACTAAAATCATAGGGAAACAATCATGTGACATTTGTCCCTATGCTTGATAAGCAATGTTATTGGCTGCAACCCCTACACGAAGGCCAGAGATTACACAAGTACTGGTTTATCAGTTATTCACTGAGAGTGAGTACCTGAAGGAGAAGGCTGTCCTTTTACTACTCCATTTTTAGTCTTTTCTTCTGAATTCATTACTTCCTTGTAGATAAGTTCTGTAAGAAACAGTTATCTGCGTTATTACAAAAAACAAATTTCTCCTTAATCTACAGAGAAATTCGTTAGTTAATGAAGAATAATAACATTCTGATGGGGTTCAGTTAAAGAAAAATCAATTAGGATTCCTTTATTTCCCTATTTCTTTATGTCCTTGCAATTAGCATAGAGCCTGGCACAAGTAGGTGCTCAATAAGGCAGCTGAATAAATAAATGTATGCAGAATACACATTTTACCTGTTTTCTGAATCTTTGGGGGAGCTTCTGATGCATTCTAGCTTCATCTATTAAGGATTTTAATGGCTCTGTTTTTGAATATCCATTTTCTTTTTATACTCACTCCCTAGGAGATGCACATATGCTCATGATTTTAAGTTATTTCCAACCTTACAATTTCCATCTCTTACTGTATCTTTTTCCCAGACTCATATCTTGTATTTGTAAATCTAAACTTGCCTAAAACCCAACACATAAAAAAATTTATTTTGTTCATTCCCAAACTAGCATCCATTTTTGGCTTTCTTGTTGCCAGAGTTAAATTAGATGTATTCAGTCCTTTTTTACTTTGCTCCCTTTACCTAAAAATCATGTAGCCCTACCTGTTCTTGCTTTGTAATGGCTTACAACATATCACCATCTTTTACAAGTAGTCATTTCCCAGATTTTTCACTATTTAGTCCATATCCTCAAATGATGGTCATACCCTATTCATGAACTCCTAAGGATTATCTTCCTGTCCTTACTTAGATCAAAGCAAGACTTTTCCATCTACCTGCTGGAATCTTTTCATATGCTCATTTTTCCATATTCACCATGACCCCTTGACAATCTCTTTACTGTCCTTATAACATGTTTTTGTTTGTTCCTGCTCTTATTCTCCTCTTAGCCTCCCATCTGGTATTTTCCTTTTTTCCCTCCAAATTTACATTTAATTCCTTTAAGGTAGTCTAAAAGTTTCTTCCCTTCCGAGCTTTCCTGTATGCTCCTCTCCATTTTTATCTGATCATTTGTTACAATCTGCTTTGGTTTTCTCATATTTATTCCATTGTGTATTAAGTTAACAATTTTTCATAAGCTTAATTTGTTTTTCTGCTTTGTTTCACTCTGAGTATAATCTTCGAGATGCAGTACGTGTTCAGAAACATTTTGCTGAAAAAATAATGTACTCATTCATTCCCTTTTTTACTTTAAGAAAGAAATAAGCCACTTAGATACACATATTTTCTATTTAAATAATCAAGACTTGTAAATCCAGTGGAATTCCTGTATTAACTATCTTTTATTTTCTAAAGTCTAAAATTGTCTCAGAATTAACCTTAATATTATATTTCTTGTGATAATTTTATGTATAAACATGGAAAGTTTAATTCTGAAATTCTGAACGGAAGCTCGCCCCCCCCACCATGACAAACACTTCAACAATCAATATTATTTAAAAAGATATCAGTAGTTAATTCCTTTAATTCTTGAGCAAATGCAATACTGCTATTAGTATAAGCCAAAAGATGAAGTTTTAGGAACTTTAAAAATGGTCTAGGAGAACGACAATTAGAAAATCACCTTTTAGTAAATTGTTCTACAGGGAAAAGCCTTGAGGATACTTTCTGAGTGTTAATTTAAAAAAAATAGAATACTTTTTTAAAGTAGAGTCACCTTTCCATTCTTCGATGGTGTGCTCTCTTTCATCCAGCTGTTTGTCATATATCTGAGGTGGAGGCTGCCAAGTAAAAACAAACAATCAACTTTGCAAAACCTAAACATAACTAAGCTCTTACAATGCATGAGAATACCTTGTCATTGACTGGTTTTGGTGGTGAGCAGAACATTATGTAAATTACGAGATAATTACAGTAGTTCACAAGTTAAAATTTCCACACAAACTTCTCGAGGATTCATTTATATTACAGTATTTTCTGCTCACTAAATAAAGCAGTACAACCCAAATCCTGAGAGCTCACTTCCCAACGTCTTCTAATTCACAACCCACGCCTGAGCAACTAATCACTGGTCTTTTAAAAAGCAAACAACACACTTGATTACAAGGGTCCAGAAGCTGCTATGGTATCTCCTCCCCCACTTGCCCTAGAACAGAGCTATACCAAAACTACCCGAAAATGATAGGATTTTGTTGTATTTTTAGACCATCCCTGAAGAAGACCATCCCTAATATCTCCTAAAAGACCATAGCACTAGTTCTCAATATAAAGAAATATTGAGACCAAATCCACCTTTTATTTTTCTTGAAGCATCATAAAATACCTTTATATATTGCTATGCATCCTATATTTAAATGATTCCAAGCTTTTATTTCCCCCCCAGGCAGAAGAAACTGCCAGTTATCTATCGAGGTGGGTTGCTTTCAACCCCCGAATGGTCCCCTGCTTAGTCCTCTCTAGGACAAATGATGTGACGGGGACTCCAGTCTGACTTATGGAGTCAGCGTGCCTTTTCCTCTGTTGAGTTCAGATACGGAAAAGGAGAGATTTTCACCAACCTACATGCCTTCCAGGAAGGAGGGTCTCAAATAAACTCTCTGACCTCTTCTTCCTGATATTTACTTGGGGAGATCTATTGTGGTAGCTTGAGTAGCTCCAATTCAGGCTAAGTAACATGGGGGAAAAAAATCCCTTGGAAAAATAAGTCACCATGAAGTAGAGAAAGATGGGGCTGAGGAGCTACACTGGCTGACACTGAGTTAAGCACAAAGAATAGCTATAAAATTTATGGTACCATGACACAGGGGACCCTAGAATTAGTCCTTGTCCAATACTCCAAAAGCAATAGTTTCTGTGAGAAACTAAGAGTCACTCAATAAGAGTGACTCAAGCCCATGAGAACATGGATCCCTCAAAAATGGCTGTTGTACCCAAGTCCCCGTCAATCCATGAGTGGATTATTAAAATTTGGTATATGTATATAATGGAATATTACTCAATCATAAGAAACGAGAGTGATCTAGAACCTCTTATACTTTCCTGGATTAAACTTAAGCCCATTATCCAAAGTGAGGCACCACAAGAGTGGAAGAATGGGCTCCACTTGTACTCGCCATCGAATTGGTACTAACTGATCAACACTAGGGTGATCACATGGCAGAAATGCTCTCTAGGGATTAGGGGGATGGAGGGGTAAATCCACAACTGAAGGACACGGGGAGCACTGTAGGGGGGAAGGGCATGCCTTTAACCCGCACTTGGGTGAGGCAAAGACATAAAGTGTAACCGTAATGTTTGTACCCTCACAATACCCTGAAATTAAAAAAAAAAAAAAAAAAGTCTGTTGTAAGAAAGACTTTGGACGAGATTTTCAGAGACAGCCTCTGGCTTCTGTGACAGGCTCTTTGGCCCATGAGCAGCAACCTGGTGCTACAGTAGCCCTAGGAATCTCTAGTAGCCTGAGTAATGACAAACACAAATATTCATCCTGGCCCTGGCAGGCTGGGGCACCCTCGCATCTTGTAAAATAGAAGACTTTGTCCAGTTATAATGAGGCAACTTAGCATAATACTGGGGTATTGAGAGGTAACTACCGATGGGCCAGACATTCCTTTAGCATCTCTGATTGCTACCATAGAAAGGTGAGGGGGCTGCGATGATCAGGCACTGCTCTCAGGACCTGACTGATGTAGGACCTTCCACCTCAAACTAAAAAGGACTCCAAAATTATAGGAATATTATGACTGCAGATTGAATGAGTCAAATTAAGTTATTTTTGAAAATTTGTGAAACTGTTATCTAAGAAAGCTACTGCAAAGCCAAGCTCTGGTTTTGTAAAGACTCTTTGCCAAGTGGTAGATTTCCTGCTTCGCCTCTTCCCGAGCATGTGTAATGCTGTGGTTAGGTCCCCATCCAAGTAGCCTTGTCCAGGACCCCTGCAGGACACATGAGCAGAAGCTCCCAGAGCCCCCAGAGCTCTGTGCACTGCTGGCACCTCTGTCTTCTTCCAACAATAGGCCCAGCTAGAGATCCTGCGTAGCTGGCTTATTCACACAGTGGATTTTTCCATTCAAGTTTTAAAATTGAACATGGCTCAAGAGTACAGATCCTGCCAAAGTTCATAAATGCCATTTTCTCTTTGCAACAAAGCTATTTTGAGATTTTCCTTAGAGCTTCAGTGTACAGCTGTTGCTGATATAAAGTACATAGACTCTAACCACAAACAAACTGCAAAGAGAGAAAGCAAAAAAACCAAGAGGACTGCTTTAAGCACACTTGCATTTATAATTTTTGTTCAAGGGCCTCTGCAAATGAGCTATATTTTCAGGTTTGGTGTGTTTTTTTTTTGAAGAGGGGCTACAAATGTCACCTACAATAAAACAGTAATTGATGGTTGTTGGATGGCTGACTCCAAAGAGAGCAATGTTCTAACACACACACATACGTGTGCTTGGCGGCAATCACCAGCTCGTGATGTGACCCACAACATTCCCTGCCTCCATCCGCTAAAGAGACGCTGGTATTGGACTGCTCGGTTGTTCTCTCTCCCCACCTTATGAAACAGGAATGATTCTCTTTTGCTAGATAACAATCCAAATAAAAAATAAATGAAAAGTGGATATAAAGAAAATGCCCCAGAGATGTTTGTTAAGAGAATATTTTAGGAAAGTTTAGCAGATTAGAACTATTTGAGATGTGAGAAATTGAGGATGAGAAGAAATTAAGGGCAACACGTGGAGAGTTATGAGGGCTTGTGACTTTCGTTCCTTGGATATTCCTCAAGGGTCTGAAGATTCATTCCCTCTCTGTTATTTTGGAGGGTTTGGGCTTTACTTCCTTGATTGAAATTCTTGCAGAAATTGAACCATGGATTCATATGGACTGTGTAAACAATAACTTAATATGGATTAGATGTATTTTATATTGATGGTATTATATATATATATATATATATATATATATATATATATATATACAAGTTGTTTCAATTAAATGAGAAAAAAATACATGAACTAGTACAGTCACTGAGTTAGTAAATATTAGAATTAATTTATTCATTTATTAAATTAATTTTTTCAAAATGCCCATTCTTGGGCACCTGACATGTGCCAGAATATATTAGAAATTGAGATTTCAAAATTGAATAATGTGACAGCTCACCTCAAGGAGCTCACAATTTACTGGGGTTAAGACTGATGCAAAACAGATAAGTAGTGCACAACATCAAAAATGATAGAAATATGCCTATGGTATCGGGAACAGAGTGGAGAAACCCTGACAAACCTGGATTTGACTTCCTGCAGTAAGTGACACTTATTCAGGGAGCAAAAGATGTGTGGGAGGTTGTCAAGCTAAAAGAAGGATAGAAAGATGACTCCAGGCCATGGGCACACATCATGATCCAGGGAACAGAGCCTAGAAAATAGAATGGTGGTGGTGGTGGTGGTGTGTGTGTGTGTGTTTCTCTGTGGGCACATACATGCAGAGAAAACTGAAAAGAAGTTTTGTGATAATAAAATATAATGTATGTGGTCAGTAGTGACAAGATCTAAGAGCTGTGCCTAGAGAGGCAGATGGATCAGGCAAAGGCTAGATAGATCAAAGCTGGTCTTAGGTATCATGCTATGGAACAAAGATTTTTTCCTGAAGAGGAGGAAAAACATGGAAGAATGTAAGAGACCGGTTTCCAATTACCAAAAACTTCATTGCTTTATAAAAGTAGACAAATGGCAATTTGTAATGCACTATGAGTTGATTTTTAAAATTGCTTCAGCAAGGTTTAGGAACTATGGCTGTGATCTCAAACAGAAATTAAACAATCTAATGCAGCAGACTTCTCAGCAGAAACCTTATAGGCCAGGAGAGCGTGGGATGATATAATCAAAGTGCTGAAATGTAAAAACTGTTTCATTGAGAATATTATAACCAGCAAAAGCTGTTCCTCAGAAATGAAGAAGAGATAAAACTCCCAGATAAACAAAACTGAGGGATTTTATCACCACCGAAACTGTATGACAAGAAATGCTGAAGAGAGTTCTTCAGGCCAAAAGAAAAGGATGCTAACTGGCAACCAAAAACATGTGAAGGTATAAAACTTACTGGTAAAAGTAAGTATACAGTCAAAATCGGAACACTCTAGTACTACCGTAACGGCAGTGTGTAAATAACCTGTATCTTTAGTATGAAGGTTAAAAGACAAAACTATTAAAAATAATAATAGCTATAATAATGTGTTAAGGGATACCAAATATAAAAAGATGTAAATTGTGACATCGAAGATTTAAAGTGTGAGAGGAAGAGTGGAGTAAAAATGTAGTTTTTTAATGTAAAGTTAAGTTATTATCAGCTTAAAGTAGCCTGTTCTAAGTTGTTTTTTGTAAGCCTTGGAATAACCACAAACAAAAATTTATAGTAGACACGCAAAAGATAAAATGTAAAGAATCAAAGCATACCACTAGGGAAAATCACTTAATCACAAAAACAGACAGAAAGAGAGGAAGAAAGGAACAAAGAATCTACAAAACAACCAGAAACCAGTGAAGAAAATGGCAGTAGAAAGTCCTTATCCATCAATAATTACCTTGAATGCAAAAGGCTTAAATTCTCCAATCCACTTAGATACAAAGATGGCTGAGGGAGAAGTATAAATTGGCTCCCAAGTATCTGGTTATATCATCTGGGTAGAAAGTAGTGCCATGAATTGTAAGGAAGAGGGGGAATAGATTTTCTGTGGATAGGAGATATATCCAGCTTGATATTTAACAAGTTAATAGTGAGCTGC